ATTGTAGTCATAGTTATTTTGACTTCAAAATAACGAATGAGTAAAGCGTTAATTACGTTTGAATGTTCAATTTTTGATTTTTAGTAATTATATCGTATGATTTGAAATGTAAACGCGCTCATCAACGCTAATCATATTATTTGTAAATCGTGCAATTTTAATTTATTTGCGTTAAATGAATGTTTGAAAGAACATTACGAACACTGTATACGTATAATATGAACATTAATTTTTTTTATATCAAAAGGTGGCAAACGAGCGAGCGGTCACCTGAAATCGTTGAAATAGCGAAGTGACAGTTGCCCATAGACATACGCAATTGTATATGCGTTGCCTACCTTTAATCAACGGAGGAGAGGATGCACGGAAAAAAAATATTTTCCCTTTCCATACATCCTCTCATCCGGAAAGTCCACTTCCACTTCCCATCCTTTCCTTATAAGTAAAGGGTGGGAAGGGAAAGAGGACGAAATTAGGCCTCCGGGACGCACACTAATCAGACGAAACGCGGAATTGCTTCCACTTCACGCCTGTTTTCTGTGTGGTGGTGGTATTTCACCGGGCGAACCTGGTCAATTTGTGAAGAGGTTAAAGCGGGTTCTACCACTCTTAAAATTCATAGATTTATCTCTTACTTATGTTAATGTGACTTATCATTGTTTGTAAGATAGATTTATAGAATTGTTTCATTCAGTAGTTTGCAATTTCTATTAGAATCTGTAGCAAAACGGTATTTTTCCAACTATCATTGTAAACTATCATAACCCATAGTCTTTTATGAGCGTAAAAATGCAACAAAGCGATGTGATCTGATGCTTACGTTGTAAAATTGTTTAATCGAGATCCACTGGCGATAACGGTAAATGACATATAAAAATATTAAAATATTAAATTATAGTGTGAAAGGGATGATAATACGTTTTTAGATACTAGTTTCGGCAGTGGAAACTCATTGTAATAGTAATTTTTCTGTCTAGTATATATCTCGCATTACGTAGTTGACGCAAGTCTTTTTAACTGCTTACGTAGGACAAGAATTAATAACAGTAGTATTATAAGATTCATTCTTTAGGGTGGCTTGTAGTAAACTGTGAATGCTTCGCAATAGCGTGCCATTCGTTCCCCGGCCGCGCATATCTCGCAGCTACAAAAGATTGTGATGTACTGAGCGTCTCATGAGAAATTCCGCGCTGATATAAATTTTCGGTACTGTAACTAAAATAAAAGCAATTTTAATTTAATCTCATATTTACTATGAGCCAGAAACGAGAGTAACCTTCAGACTTGTACCTCGAGCGTGTCGTGGCGGTTGATAATAATGTCTAAAGACAAAATTGCACCGAAGGCCAACGCCAACATTTGCCAATAGTTGGATACTAACAACAAAATCTTTTTAATTTAAGCATTAGCCAAATATATTTGTTGCTAATACCAACCCACGCCAACTAAAGCGTATATATTTGTATACAGTGAAAAAAAATGTATAATTTTAGAAATTGTTGCTGCTGAACGATTGTTATCTTAATCAAGAAATTCTATTTTTAGATTCATTATAACTAGAGTTGGACATATTAAATATTTATCGATGAATATCTAAAATTATAATGTTCATGTTTATATACGTAGAAATTCTATCTAGATGTTTTAAAATGTAAATCTAATCATATATTTTAGATTCAATATATCGATACTATATTATTGCAAATTATTAAAATAAATAATTACAGCATTTAAAAGTTGTTTTTTTTTTTAAATTTCCTAATATTTCTTTTACCATTCCAACTAAGCTCTATGCTTGTGCTAGGATATGGTTTTACGACAATAGTCGAATGGCGGGATTCGAACCCCCGACCTCGTGTTCGGAAACCCGTACCCTTAACCATTAGGCTTTGTTTGTTTAATTATTGTAGATTTCCTAGTTATTTTTTTAATATTTTAAGGTAGCAAACGAGTAAGTAGTCACCTGAGTTCGCCGGAATAGCGAAGCAATCCCTACATAGACATATACAATTGTAGATGCGGTGTTTTATACAAAAATATAAGTTTATCATGCGTGATGTCTTAAATTATTTGCTTATGATGACAAATGCATTAACATCGGTGCATTTTGTTGTATATCTTACTTAAATTATAAATGCGAACATTTAAATGGATGGATGTTTATTTGAAAGTATCTCTGAATCGGCTCAACGGTGGCTCAAAATTTAAAATCTAATTCAATGAAAATTAAATAGTTTTTTTTTCCATCTGTAACCGAATTCCGTTAAACTTTTTTTTCATTTTATTATGCTTTAAATTTGTTGATGGTACTTTTAGAAAGGTTGTTTGTTTTATATAAAAACAAAATACGATGTTTCACAGATTAAACAACTTATTTTGGAACGTTACCAGCATGTGGAGAGTAAATTATTAGTATGTAAAAAAATGAAATGATGAAATAGCATCTGTTGGTTTGAGTTTATCTTGAGAGAGTTTTAAAGTACGGGAATGGTTTAGGCATTTTGCCAAGACTCGTGGTATTAATTTTTAAACTAAAATAATGCAATAGATTGGAATTAGGTCGTGCGGCGGTCGAAGGGCTTTGAAGAATATTTTATCGTTTAATCATATGCATGACTGTGTAAATATTTTAAGATACAAAAGGAACGTGCAGCTGCAGAGTTATTAGCGGACGTGTTTTGAGTGGTACTTAATATAGGGGTTTGCAACAAATTTATGTATAAAACAGTTATATTTTTCATAATAGAAAGAGCAAACGAGTGGCAGGAACAACCACCAACGAGGATCAACGCCCATGGACATCATTTAAGTGCAGGATTGGAAGCCTATTATGACTGCATCACTGCGTCAACGGAGTATGAATCCTTTTTATTAGGACTTTGTCCTGCGAAGTCACCATTCTCTTTTCACTAATTACTTTGAATAGCACGATCAGTATTATCTCCCTCTTTTTGTCCCACTTACGTAGTTCGGCGCACTAAGTTTTCGTTCTCCATATCTATCTACCCACTGTCATGTCACTGTCTTCATAATCAGCTTCCACGCAATCCATCATCATCATCTCTTCCTTAGCCTTCCTCTACAGATGTACCCCACTACAATCATACTTAACCTTCTCCATGCCAAAGTATCAATCAGTGACATACACCATTTAAATATTTATGGTTTAAAGTACATCATTTTAACAAATAAATCAAGTATATATTACTGTTCTCGATAACACTACATGTAAACCCCAGATGATCAGATCATCAATTATTTTAATGGAACTCGTAAGATTGCAATTTCTACCGCATTTTACAGAGAAGTATCCAATCTAGCAATATTGCTATTTGAGATTATTCCACGTAACACCTTATCTATGTCTTCTTGATTTATTTTATTTGCAAGAAAAATATCTTAGTTCTTACTAATATTATAAATGCGAATGTTTAGATGGAAATGTGGATGGATGGATGTTTGTTTGAAGGTATCTCCGGAACGGCTGAACGGATTTTGATGAAATTTTGCTCACATGTAAAGCATAGTCTGGAAGAAAATATAGGCAACTAATTATGCTTTTTTTAATTATACACGGTCAGAGTTGCGGTCGACAGCTAGTCTAAAATAATTTTAAAGTCTACGAGTATATTGTGTCCATCGTATGTCAATTAATTATAACGAATACGAAATAAATACAACCCTAAAGTACGAATAAAACTTCTGTTAACGTTTTATGTTGGACTTTTCGCTTTTATGGGCGGTTCATCGAAATGTAGGCGATAATAAATAATTAATCTCTGCATTCGTGTTTATTGCCCTGTCATGATTTATGTAATGTGTTTTGAAATTTTCTAAGCAACAATCGTAATACCATTTAATTTGCACATTACTTGTAAATATATTATTTATTAACACCACTAACTGTAGGTTTCTGAGACCAAGATAATTAGACAAATTGGGTTACCGTTGGTTTCTGAGATAAATATTTTTTTATAAAAAATATCGTCATCCTTGTAATTATCTATGACAAATCAACAACAGCGATAGCAGTGTTTTAAAAGAAGGTTTTGGTCTCAGAAATCTGCGGTAAGTAGTTGTTTCCTTTTATTTTTGGGAAGTAAGTGTTCCGTTGTTGTGTACAGTTTGAAGAATGTGACAGAACAGTGACGAAATACAAAACAGTGTCAAAATTGATTTACATAAAAGTGTCTAAATCGAAATATTTTCAGATACAACATTTTTAAATTATTTTTATTATTTATAGCAGTAAGATTAATAAGACAACAAACATATATGCTAGAGTCCTTGGCAATGCCTCTTGAATTTAATTATAGCTCGTAGCGTATCCGTCAAAATCGTATGAAAGTTGGCAAGTGACCGAATGGACGTTGTTTCAGCTATTGTTAAAATTAGTTACAAATAATGACCACCTGTTAAAATATTTTGGTAATCAAACAAAAGGAAGTTAATTTACAAGTAATCAAAAATTAATTATTTAGATGAAAAATATTAACATCTTGATTAAAGAAAAAATTGTCGTGGTGTCACCGGGAAATATGTACAAAGTATCCAAGAACTCGTTGGTAGCATGTAGTGGCTAGTCTGGTGGATATTTTTACTTGGTCTAGAATGGTCTGCCCTGAGGCAAGCCGAAGACAGGACGACGTGGAGGCAGCTGGTCGACACAGCCGTTAAAGCATATGAAGACAAGTACGACCGTCAGTAATGTAGAATACGAAGAAGAAGAAGATAATTAAAAAAAAAAGAAAAATATAAAACATAAAGCAAAAGAGTTCCGGAATATTGCTTAATAAGTTTTTCCGTCACTATATTTACTTCAAAGTATACAGCTTGCTCTGTTAAAATAAAATTCTGTTAGTACACGTGACTTTCACTGACGAATCATATTACTACCTCGTTTTCCTCAAAGGAAATGAAAGGGACAACGATATAAGTACCCACATGTATATTCGTTTCGGCAGTGGAAAGTATCGACATTATTCATCCGTGAACAAACGTAGATACAGTCAGCTGTAAAGCCGATTGTACCAAGATGTAAATAAAATTCATTTGTAACATCGATAAAACCGTTTATTGCGTCGTCATTGTGTTACAGTTTGACATTGATATGAACAAATTTAGCTGGTAAGTAAACATTATTGCGTTTATATCTTTTAGGATAAATTGAATTTTGGTTTAGATTTGAAATACGAAAAATAAACGACTCCTGCATCGATTAAAGTTGGTTAACGCATGTGTATGGAAAACATGGAAAAAGCGGTCACTGAATTCAATGACCGCATGCTCGTTTGTTGCCTTAAAATATAAAAAAAATATGAATGCTTCGGTCAAAAAAATAACAATAAAAAAAAAATTAAAAAGTTATGACTGTTCTTACTCTTAAAATGTATCTGAGTATACCGAAAACAAGAAACCGTCCCTGTTTTCATTAAGAATATATAGGTCAGTAGAACAGTTCTGGTATCCGCACTGACAAACGTTACTTAACATACTGGCCTTAGAAATAATGATGTTTGGTGACACGTGCTTTTTAAATAAAATCACGGTAGAATCGAACGTGCAGACTTTATGCAATCGCGCGAAGATATCGATAGTTAAATTAATTGAAATAAAATATGCATAATTTATTTATTATTAATCATTTATCAATTACGTTTATAATAAATCGTAAAGATCTGTTCAGTTTTTAACAATGTATAGTTGTCAAAATTACAAACATTTGAGTTCAATATTTTTATGATATTAATTACCTTGTTGTACTATGTAAAGAAAATTTGGCAACGTTCATACTGGCTTATTAAAAAAAATAATACACATTCAACATTTAAACTATATATGTAGGTAGGTATTTGTTCAATGAAAGTAAATCAAAGGGGATGATCCTTGGATTATTTAAAATAATTCAAAAAGCATATAATTTCATATAAAGTTTAAATCATAATGATTAATGAATAAATAACGAAATAGGTCATGTTATAAATTATTTAATATGTACAAAATAATTAATTAATGTGTAGCATGTAATGTAGGTGCGGCAGTCAGAGTATCGAAATGTTAGTGACGAGATCCAGCGGGGAAGCCGCAGTCGCGTCCAGCGCCCGTCCCGACGCCACGCCGCGTTGCGTCGATGCTATCCGAAAATCGATATTATCGTAACACCGACGTATACCATTTTATTGCCAAACGTAAACATTTTACGGCTGTTTAAAAAGTTTTACTGTGACGTTATTTTATACATCATTGTAATTCTCCGTATCCTTATTCTGATACGTATTAACAACATCTGTAACACTTTATTCTGTCGGGAAATACAGCGAGATTTTTACCAGCTGTTTCCATATGATATAAAACTTTGTACGTTAAAAGTTTACAATGAATTTAAAACTACAAGTGTTGAGAATTAATGGTAGCGATATCTAAAAACATGAGAAGTAATATTGTTAATATTTTACAAATGCAAAGACATTTCCGTCGCAAGAGTTAAATGTCCGTTGCGTGTAGCGTCCAGCTCTTTAATAAATTGCGTAAAATATGCTTCAGATGTGAGTTTAGTATAAACAGACTAGTGAAGGTCGTGGTTTGCGTAGACGACGCGCCGGGGAAGTTGGCAAGCGAGGCGCGCGCGTCTCTCGTGACGCGGCGACTTTTCCGCGAGCCCTGCGCGTCCGCCGCTCTCAGTCACCACTGGCAACGCTCGAGGATATGCCCGTGTTATGGATTACCAATGCGTCGTCGTCTACACCGTTATCAACATTGCACCGCCGCGTATCACATCGCAAGCGGCCGATCTATCCAATGGATGCATCGCTTGGTTCAAAAATAAGCTTAAAAGGTTAGTTTAAATTGTTTTAAAGAATCAAGTTTTACGATAACACTAAAATTTATTATAAACAATTTGTTTGATCATGGTTTTCTAATTATTATACATTTATTGAAATTTTTATATCAACTATTGAGTTCAGAACTTGAAAATGGACAGATACAAGTCTATCATTCCTTAAAGCTCAGAAACTGAAATATTTTTTAATAGGAAATTGATTTGAATAAACAGTAAAAGGCTTTAAAACTCTCCAAGCGAAGAGCATTAGACAAGAAGTTCAAGACGGGCCACTTAGTTGAAGTGTCCAAGGCTTTTTAAAAATGAAATTCATAAATATCGATAATGTTCTTTAAAAGTATTTTAATACACTCGTATATTTATAAATAGTTGTTACATTTTTATCTAAAACAAAATAGTAAAAAAGGTCACATAAATAACTACGTCAAAAGGACCTTTGATATGAAGCCAGATTAAGAAACTTGCGTGCCTTATTATAAAGGTAATAAAAAGCCGCGTTGTTAAAATAACATTTTTTTCTTTTTAAAATGAAGTATTTTAAGCCAATTGTCTAGGACTAATTATTTTGGCGATAGTTTTTAGATGGGTTTAATAATCTGTTTCTTTTTGGTTTTCAGAGCAGTCGCAGTATATCTCGAATCGCTTAAACTAACGCCAGGTAATGGATTTGTACACGGGACTTTAGCTTGTGTCTATTATAAACAAGGGCTTATAGACCTGGCAATAGATACGTACAAGCGAGCTATAGAGCTTCAACCTAATTTTCCTGATGCCTATTGTAATCTTGCTAATGCACTTAAAGAGAAAGGTCTTGTCTCTGAGGCGGAAGATTGTTACAATGCAGCTTTGCGTTTATGTCCATCGCATGTTGATACATTGAATAATCTTGGCAATGTTAAAAGGGAACAAGGAAAAATTGAAGAGGCAACCATTTTATATATGAAAGCATTAGAAGTTTTTCCTAATTTCGCTGCCACGCACAGCAATTTGGCATCCTTGTTACAACAACAAGGTCAGTTTTTTAAATAACAAGCTAACACTGATGAACTTTCAAATACGTAAATTTTGTAGATCCCATTTCCATTTGTTATGTCATATCTAATTGAACCAGATTAATTTTCTTTTGATATTTAAGTTATATGGTAGTTTGATATAAAATTAATAAATATTAACCATTTCAGGTAAACTACATGAGGCCTTAATGCATTATAGGCAAGCTATTAACATACAACCGAAATTTGCTGATGCATATAGTAATATGGGAAACACTTTAAGAGAACTACAAGACATCAGAGGTGCTTTAGTATGTTTCAAAAAAGCAATTGAACTCAATCCCACATTTGCTGATGCACATTGCAATTTAGGAAGCATTTTAAAAGATATGGGTAAAATATCGGAAGCTATTGCATGCTACGAAAATGCTTTAAAAATAAAGCCGGATTTTCCTGATGCCTATTGTAACTTAGCGCATTGTTTTCAATTAATATGCATTTGCGATTGCTACGATGAACGAATGAAAAACATAATAGCAATTGTGGAACAGCAATTACTTTCAGAAAAACTACCATCGATTCATCCTCACCATTCCATTTTATATCCATTATCAAACAAAGCAAGAAAAGCAATTGCAGAAAGGCATGCTAATTTGTATACAGAGAAAGTAAATATGGTTAATAATCCTACTTTTACATATAATATATTAAACGATGATCGAATACGTATCGGTTACGTAAGTAGCGATTTCGGAAACCATCCTACATCTCACCTGATGCAATCTATACCAGGACTGCATGACCAATCTAAGTTCGAAATATTTTGCTATGCTTTAAATCCAGATGATGGTACAACATTCCGTAGAAAAATAGTTCGAGAATCAGAACATTTTGTTGATTTGTCTCAAATAACGTGCAACGTGGAAGCAGCAAAGAAAATCAACGAGGACAATATACACATTTTAATTAATATGAATGGTTATACAAAGGGAGCAAGAAACGAAATTTTTGCTTTAAAACCAGCACCGATACAAGTTATGTGGCTAGGATATCCTGGAACTAGTGGCGCAGATTATATGAACTATATTATAACTGACGAAACGTCTTGTCCCATATCAGCTGTTAATGATTTTAGCGAGAAATTCGCTTACATGCCCCATACTTACTTTATCGGTGATCATAAGCAAATGTTTCCGCATTTAATAAAACAATATAAAATAAGAATTACTGATGATGAAATGACTGATGATAATAGAACAATAATAAATGTACCAGAGAATGTGAACGTCAATCAAATGTTTTTGGTAAGTGAAGAGAAACAATGTATTAAATACGAGAATTTAAAACCAATAAATATAGTTGAAAATATATTATACATTCCGAGACAAGTATCCGAAATAATATTAAATCCCACATTAGATAAGATGGTACGTTCGTTGATAATAATTTATATGGTGATGGCTTAAATATTCTAAATCGAGTTTAATCTAATCTTTTCTTTCAGATTGATATAAATGGAAAAAATATTTATAATGGTAAATTAATAAATACTGGTAATGAAAAGATGGGATCAGGACAGGAAGTTGTTGACAATATAATATTTACTTCAAGGAAGCATTATGGACTTCCGAGTGATGCGATAGTTTATTGTAATTTTAATCAGCTATATAAGACTGATCCCAAAATTTTGGAGACATGGGTTGAAATTTTAAAAATGGTGCCAAATAGTGTCCTCTGGCTTTTAAGCTTTCCACCTGCCGGTGAACCAAATATCTTAAGATATGTACAGAGCTTAGGTAAGAGTACTATAATTCTCCTTTTTGCTAGAAAAAAAATAACAGTGACCAGCATGTCTTATTCAATCTGAAAACTTGCACTAAAATCTATAATTTCTGCCTACATCTTAGAATTATGGGGATGCATATACGTTTTATTTAATAATCTACTTCTTATTTTTATAGGGTTATCACCCACACGTGTGATATTTTCTAAAATAGCATGTAAGGAAGAACATGTTCGGAGGGGTCAATTGGCTGATGTCTGTTTAGACACACCTTTGTGTAATGGACACACTACAGCTATGGATATTCTGTGGGCGGGTACACCAATAGTTACACTTCCTGGGGTGACGTTAGCATCAAGGTATGATTTTCATACTTTCAGTAACATTAGCTTAAAATAAATTTAAATGTTAGTAGATGATACTGGTCTTTGTTTTTTCTCATCTCCACTATTAATATGTAGCCTGTAAACCTAATTATTTAACAAGGCGTTTGTTATAGAGTTGCTGCATCTCTGTTAAAAACCCTTAATTGTCCTGAACTAATTGCTAAAGACAGGAGCAATTACGTGAATATTGCAGTCGAACTTGGCAGAAATAAAGATTAGTAAGTATCTGAATTTAGTTGTTCATTTCTAAATTATTGATAATACTACTGTAACTGTGTAGCGATTTCTACATTATTTAAACGTTTCATTGCTTTGCTGCGTTATTCTTTTTGTTTCAAATTTATTTTTTGTGTTTATTTAGTATCATTAATTACATAACTATCATTAAATGCTGTGCAATTATATGTAATATATCAGTGTTTTTGTATATAAGTCGAAGAGTTAGTTAATAAAATTATATTACCACGCTGCGGAATAATTTGATTTCTTTTTACCACATATCCACTATTATTTTACGACAGGCAATTTTGTTTTTTGTTTTTGTTAATGAAACCATATTTTATGTTAATCTAAGAGAATACTTCGGGAAACTTTGGATACGAAAACTCAATCTGCGGATACCCTTTCTTTTCAGATATGTTTCCATTTTGCGAATTTTATGTATATTTTATTACTTTTTGTCGCCATGTTCTTATTTATTGTGACTGACTAATTTATGTATATTTTTTTAGTCTCAGATATGTTCGGGCGAAGGTTGCGGAATCTCGTTTACATAGCACTTTATTTGATTGTAAATATTATGCAAGTGGATTGGAATCATTGTATATCAAAATGTGGGAGTTGTATAAAAGTGGAAAAAATGCCATTAATTTGAAAGCATTCCAATAAAAATTGACAGCGGACTTGCGCATGCATAAAACTAAGGTGAGAATAATATTATCAACTTTTTTATTTTTATGTAAGATTTTATATTATTACTAGTTGTCGCCCGCAACTCCATCCGCGCGTAATTAAAGGAGCTTGAGTAGCCTATGTGTTCTTCCAGACTATGTACATCTGTGCCAAATTTCGTCAACATCCACCTATCCATCCAATATTATCCTATCCAAAAATATTAGTATGATTATGATAAACCCGACAACTAAAATGTCGAATCCGATACTTGGATTAAAAATCGGAGGATTATTTTTTTACATTAGTAAAACTAATAGCATTTTCCGTCGCAATACTGAGTTTGGGTATTGGTAAGTGGTAATGTGTTTTTTATTATTTATTTTACTATTTGTTACAGATCTGGATTTCATCAGGGTTATAACATACAAGTATACTGGCCATTTTAGTGACTCGCCGTCCAGAAACGTCCATTAAAATAGAAAACATACGTTTTCACTTGGGTAATGAATCCATTAAAATGTAATAATGAAATTCAAACAATAAATGTAACTTATAATTAAAATTTTACTTATTATATTTGTGATGTCGTTTATGTGCACTTATTTATATTGTAATTAAAACCATGGGGTTTTTTATTGAAATAAATAACACTTCCTGAAAAATGGCTTTATTTTTTCCTTCGAAACTTTACATTTTAATTATCATTCATAAGTATACAGATAAATAACTATAGTGTAGCTGACTGTAATAAAATATAAAACTCATTTATATTTTTTCATAAACGTACCTATGATTTGAGATATTAAGAGCTAAAGCAAAACAAGAAAATTGCTTAAATAAATTTATCTTATTAAAGACGCACATATCCTTCATGGAAGTATGGAAATTATGTACAGTATTATACAAAGAAATTATTTTAAACCATACAAATATTAATATATTAAAATACTACGTAGTAAAGAACTTACTTTTAGTGTAGATTTAATAAAATATTTTAAAATTAAAACATACTTTGTTCAGTGTTTATTAGCCTAACGTATAATTAAATTTTAAATCGATTTTGTAGTTTCCTTGATAGATATGTGCGTGAACGTGAGTTTTTATTTCCGAAACATTAATACAGTGTACAATAATTCTTCACATTGTCCTTGATAAACTGGAATTATTTTCTGTATGTATGTTTCGTAAGTGGAAACACACGGTGATAATTAGCATAAAAACAGCAGTCGCTCGTCTTTTGAATTAACAACAAAGGTGCACAATTGCTGTGCGAATATTTAATTTAAATCTTAAAGAGGTGAGTAATATAATCAGATAGAATAATTTAAAAGAAAGCATCCATCACTTTATATTTTCAAATCTCGTCAATCCCGGTATTTGTATATTTTGTTACTTTTTGGAGCATCGTTGTATTCCGCCTATTTATCTATAACATACTACTCTTATAATATGACCGTACCTTAAATGTGTAACCAAAATACACACTATTCTAAATTATTCTAAATATCAATTTTCTTGGTGTTTATCGTAAAATGAGGTAATGATTTCATTTTAATAATATATATATGTATATATATTATCTTTTAACAATGTTTAACAAACAGTTATGACACTGTAACATATATAAAAATGTAACATACATAACCATTAACTTTATTCACGTAATTACACGTTAATGACAAAAAAACAAAAAAAAACAACGAGGATTACGAACTTTTAAAGGAAATTAATTTAGAAATTTTTAATTGTTGAACTAATAAATGCATTTAATAATAAATTAAATAACTGAAAGCCGTGAAAAAATGTAACGTATTATTTTTATCTATCTGTAACTAGCTTTTACTCTTTGTGCTTGTTAATTTATCTAGAAATCTATAACTTTTTCTAAGTTTGTAACAATACTTTCGATTTAAAAGTACTATACAATAATTGAGCCTTTTATTTAGAATAGACTTTGTTTATGAAGAGGTGAAGCCTAAAAATGATGCGCGACTTTAATGTAAAATCATATAAATTATTAAAATTTAATGTGGAAAACTTAAGTATGTTATAATTTAAAAAAAATTAAAATCAATCGCAATTATTAAAACATTAATAATATCTAATAATGGCGGATTAAAAAAATTAATAATGCATGCTCATGATACCCAGGAGTATTATCACAATTTATCCATATTATTATTCGTAACATTTTTTTTTTATAATAATGGTCGTAATTATTGCTAAATGCTTTTATGTGTAGATTAACAATACAAAAACCGATTTTAACTATAAGGCATTATTTAGAATATCTGAAAATTGATTTATCGCTTCTATTGATACTTTAACAATTAACATATTTATTCTATTGTTCCTATTTCTATTTCAATCTAAATCGTCTATATTTTTTAGGTTCATAAATGTCGGTTAAAATGTATAAAAAATTTTCATTATGTTATCAACATTGTCTAAACTATCAGTGTACCAAATTAGTGTCAAGTAAATCCTTGAGTCTTTTGTATTAATCTTATTATTTTATACTCGACATTCAATAATAAACCAACAAATACAACATCTATAAAATCAACTACAAACGTTAAAAATTTTCAAAGCATGGTAAATATTCTTGATAAAATATTGCTACTAAATATATAATTTATAATAATTTCAAATCGTGTATAATTTTGTTCTTTGCAACAGTTATAACTTCATTATTTTAATGGAACTCATAATTATTAATAACAATGACATCACAACAAAATCGTTAAAAAATAATATTACATTTCATTGTAATAATATGATTTATGACGATTTAATGAATATTATTTTGTTGTTGTTGTTTTTGTTATTCCTTACATTCTATTAAATTGCTATGAATTATTTGTAAGTTTCATTATTAAGTCCATTTCCTGAGGAGTGTAATCTAATAAATATACAATCTTACTTTGTCTAATAAAAACTTTCTAGCGTTTCTTACAAATAATATAACCAATAAACACCATTAAATTATAGTCAAAGAAAAACTATAATTTAATATATCCTTATATTTAAGTAGATCACTCCTCAGTTCTTGTTATATCCTCTAAGATAAATGGAATTCTAAATTTAACCTTTTAAAAACTATATATAAAATTAGATTATTCGTGAACATTATTCCAACTTAGTAGATTTAAGGCATCTCCTCGAAAATGATTTTTTTTTTATGATTTTATTTATATAATAATTTGTCTTTTTTATTAACATTAAATGCACAAAATAAGATCACTTTGACCTCACGATTATAGTAGATATTGCATTTTATATATATTTTTGTAATTTTCATATTGCTTTTGGAAACATTGGTGTATACTTAGGCTTTAATTTAATTGGCGAATTTTATCCTAATCACATTAAAAAAGGAAATTACACAAAAAAAATGGAAGGTAATAATTATTGTTGTAAATACTTTTACATATAAACGTGTTAACTAAATACATTCAATATAGGATATACTTGAAAATAAAGAACACATAATTTTAATATATAATAAATATACATTAAAAAATTATTCTTTTTTAATGTGCACATAATATAATAATATAAATAATTTTTAATCTTACATCTATTTGTTTCGCACTTAGTTACTAATCACTAAACAATTATTTTAGAATTTCGTTTCGGAGACACGAATCTGAGGCTGCGTCTTAATATATCTACTTTGAATTGCTACCGGCGAACCTTATTTAAATCTTAATATTAATTTCTTAATAAATAATTTAGAATATTTTTTAATGAATTGCTTTAGTTGTTAAAAGTGAGAACACTTAATATATAGTGCGAATATCATATCAGGATTAAAATAATTTATAAAATTCATTGTCAATGTAATTCTATCATTTACATTTCTAAATTTTTTTTTGGAATGCACTTTGAAAAGAGTCTAAAATATAATAATAAATCGTATTCATATTTATTTAAAGCATATTTTGAGATTTTATTAGCGAAAGCTTTTCATGGGTTAATATAAGATCAAACTTAAAGAATGCCTTTACAGATAATTCAACTCATATTGGTTTTTTGTCCTTCGTGCCTTTTTATTTGGGTCACATACTGCATTGTCTGACAAACGCCAGCACCACATACCAAGATGAGTTAAACTATCTTCACAATACTTATTTAACAATCCATAACATTGACTTTAACAATTCATAACGCTTAAACTTGTCGTAACGTTATTCTCTTATAAAATCGGTATCGATATAACGATATATAGGTGTCCGTCAGTTCTCTTTCAGTATCTAAATTATATCTAAAATTGTACTACAATCTCAAGTTTCGGCTTCTTATTTCTTATTAAGCTTCACTAATTTAAATGTGTATACTTCATTTAATATTTATTGTAAAATTTCTAATAACCACAACGATATTTCTAGCACTATCTTTGGTGTTCAATGGAATGGCAGTGTATTATTTACTAATTAGTATTGTCCCAACAAATAACTGACTTAAATCTTGATATAATTGAATTTTACGAAACCCACATTAATAAAGAACTGTCGTAGCTGATGACAGGAGCGCTGCACATCAGATAATGAGGGTATGTGCTGTTAAAATGGGAAAGTTAATTCCCCCTCTCATATACATGGAGGTGATTCCATATAGCATAAGAATTTATAGAATTAACTTCCCATTCTAACAGCATTTTTACAGTTCCAATGCTCAATAGATTGCACACTACAAGAGCTTCGTAAAATACACTAGCTAGCAAAACAAGCTAATTCGTCTAGTTTTACTTATTTAGATCAAGCGTTGCATTGGCTACTGTGCGATTCTAATTTAATATAAACAAACGCAATGTTTGAAGAGAGAAATGCTAATAAATAAGTATACTGTAAATAATTACACTAATACAGTAAATTCTAAATAGCAGCTGTTGCTTCTACATGTTATATGTTGATAGTTTCATATTATGAGTTGTCTTATTCTAAAACTACAAACTAAATTTTCAGTTGTATTTACAAATCTCTCAGTCGGATGATTCTATAGAAGTGTTTATACTTCTTTCAAATTTAATTCAAGCTATGTTTATATTTCTATCACTTCTCTCATTTGTATCGTGTTTAAAAGTTAACAAACGAGTTTACATTGCGTGTTTTTAACTATACTTTTTTAGTAATATTATTATTTTGTTACGTGAAAAATCCTTGTACATTCAGCTTCTTGAAATGTAAGAATAATTGCAAAGAATATTTTGAGGTACTACTTTATAGATAAAGAATATAGTAAATTGAAATCTACATTGTATACAAAGAGTAATATTAAAATGAATACATTTAAAAGGGCCAAATACATGTGTACTTAAAATGCATACATTCTTTACAAAAAAAAATAATATTCATTCGCATTTTTTGATGATTTTCAAAACTTCAATTTTGTTGCATGCATAATTCCGAATAATGTAACGTTTAATTTTCACACTATTACGATGACTATTAAATTATAATGAAGAGATCTATGGAGATGTGTATTTATAAATGCCCATTATTATTAAAATATAATAACTAATGATAATTCTAAAATAATAAACATATTATTATTTTTTAATGTTAAAATAGAAAAATATTGTATTAAAATTAAATCAATTCACATGCATTTATTGTTTTTAAGCATGATTAACAGCTTAATGGAAACGTATTTACGGAAACAATTTTATGTCAGAAAGCTATTAAAAATGTTACAAAAATACAAATAATTTGTTTCTAATCAAAATAAATTCCTAAGATTATATTACAATGTGAAAAATTGCAAACAATAAACAATCGGCGAACTTCAAGATATAGTGAATAGAAAACTAACTAACTCTAATTGTTCAAGCAGAAACAGTTGAGCATCAGATTTATGTTACAATTTTTGGTACTTCCACTTATTTTGCCATAAAATTTATATTAATTTGAAACTATAGTATCCAATCAACATTATTGCATATATTTTGCCTTTTTATCCACACTTTCCTCATTGGGAAAATAACTACAAGAGAAAAGGATTGCATTTAAGTCTTTTGTTCATCATTTATCGGATGAAATTCGGAAAACTTTTACTTCATATCAATCTTCTATACGGAACTTTACACACGCAAAGTACCAAAACGTAATTTTAGGCGTTGATAATGACTCATGAAAATTTAATAATTTGACTAAAATATTAGTCTTAAATCGGAAAAATAGTTTCAGATTAATATATTAATAAGATAGTTGGCAAAATAAGTGGATATAATATTCCCCCTCTATTTATCCTCTTCCAGAAGAACCAAGTCGTCAGCCACGACGTCTGACACGTGCAGGTAAATGATCCAATACATAAGATTAAAGCAAACGAAACAAACTGGGAACACGATGCGAGAGTATTTGTCGATGTCTGAAGGTGTCATTCCCAGTAGTTTGCTTATATCCTGGAATAAAATAAGTAAAATGTTATCCCCTTATTACTAAAATTATCGTCGCAGACATCTGTATTTATTATATAATAACAACATTACCTTATTAATAATATAATAATGTAATAAACAAAGATATAAATACGCTATCGCTAAACTTAAACCTTATAGATTATTAATGAATAATTAATAATAAAAATGAATAATGAATAAAATAATAATAAAGTAAGTAATTATAACACTCAAATTTTGGAGCACGATTAGAAATGCGCGCGCAGAGCTCATAAGTGCATATTTTTCGCTGGCATAAATTTTTCGCTTAGAATTACAATTGTAATAAAGTTTTCTACCTTGCCAGGGTGAAGAATATGCGGCGGCGGTCCTGGATTGTCCTCTTCGTTAGTTCTACCTCCGTTGATTGTATTCTCCAATGTACCGCCTTTCGAGTGGACTTTGGGATCATGAACTTTAAAACGAACCTCCTGAAATATTTCATCAAATGTTTTGTACGAACAATATGTAGTTTATCTTATTATAAATTATCAAAATACTTACCGATGGCCGTCCCGGAGGACATCTACTCATTGTACCAATTTTAGATAGTGTATGGGTATCCGATACTGGTGGACAGTCAACTGGTAATTTTTTCTCTGAAGCAATTTTTTGTATTGCAACAAATCTTTGTTTTCTCATTTGTATTCTTTTTGCCATGTACCCCACGGTTGCGTATTCTGTAAAGAATGAGATTGTCGTATAAAAGATCATCTATAACAAAAAAAACTTGATTTAAAAAGTAAAAAGTGCCACAGATAATTTCGCTTTGCAAGAAATAATGTCTGATTATAAGTCGCATTGGCAATTAAATATATCATTAGTTTCGCTTTGCAATTTCATAATCACTAAATAATATATTACCTAATAAACTTGCGAAGACCATGACGAAACACGTTCCCAGATATACATCGATTGACTTGACGTAAGAGATTTTCGGCAGAGCGGCGTTTGTTGAGGACATAAGCGTAGTCATTGTCAAAACGGTGGTCACACCTAAAGCTACTCTCGCAGGAGTCGCATTACGATTCAACCAAAACGATACCCAAGATATGATAACTATCAAACCAGATGGAATATAGATTTGAATAAGATAATAGCCCATTGATCGTACGAATTGTATTTCACAAGCTAATCTTGAGTAATTTCCTGTAACATATTTACATTGTTAAAATGTTCATTCACAATAATAATAATAATAACACATAGGATAAAAAACACACTTCGGAGTACAAAAAGCATAGAACGTTTCAACAAATATATTTTTATTTTCTTATAAATTTTACTTCTATTTACGTACGTTACATAGTACTATGTTAAATTTAAAGTGGTTGGGGTATATAACCTAGTACTTAAATTGATTTTACACACCATTCAGTGTTTTGTGCAAAAGTACAAAAGCAGGATGTGAAAAGAATAGTGACTGTTTCTGTCCAGTGTTTCACGTAATATTATTCTCAACAAGTAATATTAATCTCTCGTCGTGGTAATTAAATCCCCCTTAATTACAATACCTGTTGTAAGTGATATCTCCATTGCTCGCTGTCGATGGCCGAGCACCTTGAATTGCGGCAGCGACACCTCATTTGAAACACCCACAGAGTTGGGCCCCTCGTTCCATTTGTATCGGATGTCTCGCATGGTGTAGCCGACTGTGCGCAGCGGACATATAAATAAAATACCCCAGGCCCATCGCAATGGGTTTTGTAACTCGAGTCGTCATTCGGTCGGGGTTTGTCTATATAATCGCGGAGATCGCTTATCGCGCTTTTTTGTGCGATTTTTGTATTGTGTTTTAGCGTGTGTGCTAGTGCCGCGGTATCTACCATCCGCACACGGGCTGAGGGAGACGGGGTCGGTGGCGGAGCAACAGATGGATTGTGCTAGGACGGCGGGCTATGCGATTCGTTACCTGTGGTGAGAGTTACAACCGTAGCTCGCTGCCGATGACCGAGTACACGGAACTGTGGTAGTTGTACTTCATTACTCATGCCGACGCTCGATAGGCCGTCTTTCCAATGGTATCGAATATCTCTCATTGTGTACCCGACTCCGGAGACATGCCAAACACACAAAACGCTATCACTTACGCTGAGAAGCACCGCGCATCCCGCGCTCGCGCTGCCGCGTCCCTCGCGAGAGTCGCGGGCGAGATAAACGAGCGGAATCGAGGTCCGGCCAAATATTGGCCGTACATCTCGGGTCAGCTCGTAGTGGATGATAGAAAAATATAAATCTACTTAGTCTACCTACTGAAATAAGGAAAGAGAAACGCGAAATTAAAATAAAAGTTTATATTTTAATATTAGATAAGTTCTATATATTTACCTAAAGTAAATAGATTGTATAGGAAAGTTGTTACAAACATTAAAAATCTACATGCAAGTGCAATTGATAAGTATGCTGTGAGGAGCGAAGCAGCGGTAGTAATGCGGGATGAGTGGGTGTGGGTGGGCACAGGCGGCGCGCCAGCGCCAGCGGCAGCCGCCAAGCCCGCGGGCGCCGCCGTACCCCGCCTCCGTCGGCCCGCTCAGCTATCACAGCATCGATGTCTCACAATCCTTTCTTTAGCTTTATGCTCGTGAGGACAAAGGCTTACTATTTTACGAGTCTGCCTTCTGCGGGTGCTGTATGCGAGAAGGAGACGTTCCAACTTATGACAACACGAGGGGAACCACAGCATGTGTCGGCCATTAAATTGTACGTATGTGCTCACAGGTTATCCCTGAGTAGCATCTGTGATACAAACAGGTGATCACAACACAATATCATTAAGCCTAGTGATAAGTTGCATTGTGATAGTAATCAAATCAATGGTTGCTTTGAGTGAGCACACATAATATACATACATATTAAAATATTGTTCTTTATTTTTCTATCATCGTTATATTATTAAGGTATATATTACTATTATAATATTAGACTATAATTAACGGATACTGCTTGGTCTATTGTCTAAAACAATTAAACTCTTGCACAATAATATATTAATATAAGTAAGACATATAAAGCTGTAAGTGCTTTTGGTAAATATTTCTCCGATAACTTCAAATAGCACACAAATTTATAAAATAGATGTAGACAAATTACGTAATATAATATAATATAATTGTTATTAATAGTGAATAAAATTGACTTCAATTTACTTGAAAATATAACAATTAAATTTATTTTCCCATTGAAACCTATATGAAGATACTTACAACTCTCGATTTCTATATGACATAATTGTCGATCCATTGGAAAGTACTGGAGATTCATTGGACATGAAGCTGTGATTGTTAACCTGAAATATGTCATAATAATATCAATTTCCAATTAATAAGGACACAATAAACCTATGAAATACTTCAGCATACTTTTAATTTTACCTTATACTTCTCGTAATAGAACCAGAGTGATGGATACGAATAAATTCATTACTAGTCGTTGCTATGTGAAAGTAAGATTGTTTTTCATTTACAAAGAACGTGTCAGGTACCCAAATATTCTTAATAAATTCAGAGCCCACTGATAAAGTTTCTACTCCGGGCCTTTTCTTGTAAGCTAATCGTGGATCTGTCCAAAATTGTCTGAAGTAAAAATCCAATGTGAAGTCCTGGGAAAGAAAGTCATACTTTAAAGTTGGGATTTTTTTCTTCGTTTTTTTTGGATTATGTTCAAATTCCTTCGACTATTGAAATCAGAAGTTCGACTCGATTATAATAAGTTCAACGATTACTTTTAATTCAGAGAATAAAAACTATTAACTATAAAATTACATGACGTCAACATCTAACATCGGCATGCTTCTTTTTTAATCAGATCAATCAATTACGTTAAATTTAGCTTCAGCAATATCTCGTATAATACCTAAGACCTGATGTTTTGGATCTTGAGACATTTTTTTTTTTCGTTTATTAGAAACAATTATGATGATATAAAACACAGTACTACATTCAATAGATTTAAACAGTAAGCGTGAAGTAGTTAAAAATGTGCATAGTGTGTTGTATGGCGATCTAATAAACACATGTGAATTCTATTCATGATCGGGAAGTTATGTGCTTCGGTGTTAGGTTAGGACAATGTGAGCGGGCGACAGTACAGGTGGGCACCCACGGCTCGACTCGACAGGCGGACCTCACCTACATAAAGCGGTAAGCAGGTACGGATATTGCTTGCCCGAACAATGTTTGGATCAAGTTTGTGGATTATGATTGCGACCCGATCGCAATTTTGCGACTTGCGAATTCAACAATTATTATCCTCATGGGTTATGGGTCACGTCTCATTGTGACCTTCCCAACCTCGATTTGGTTTCCACTTCGGGGTCCTTCACCCAAACGTCTAGTAGCTCACACAGAACCCACTTTGGAAAACCGGATTTTTTATCTCGCCAGGAAATTTAAGGGATTGTAATTTTATCAGAGTTGACACATCGCACCAATTATAAACACGGCTTAACTCACCTATATTTCGTTATAGATATCGACTAGTTACAGATTCGGTGGTTTATCTTCAACTTGGATTCACTCACCCTGAAGAAAGTCAACTTGTCTGAAACTAGTTGATACCTAGACCCAAATAGAGGTGAGTAAAGGTGTGTGATCTATAATTTGTACATTAGAATGTCTCACGAAAGTTTTAATAAATTAAAATAATAATAATAATGTGATAGTAATATTGAAACCGGTGTTCCAAGTTACTGGAGAGAATAGAAATTTGGCAATGTTAATAGGTACACAAATACGTACAAACACAACAAACTACAAATGATTCACAATAAAAAGAACAGTCTTCGCAAATCCATAGATTTATATATGTATTCACTGTTCATAGTTCTTTTCGTAATTACTTGTACTTATTTATTTAAATGAAAATAATTATTGTGATTTTCCATGGAAAAGTAAAATAAAAACGACTCTGGGAAGCAACGAAACCCCGTGGCGTATCTTTGGACTTACGAGAACTGCTAAACACACAAGAAACTTTAAGATTTAACTTATTGCAATTCTTATTATGAACTAAAAAAAATTTTGACGAACTAAAGACATTGAGTGAATAAACTAAAAGTCATAATAAGAAGGCAATTGGGCGGACGACAATAGGGCGTTTTGCTCCACCAAACGCGGACATGCTCGCAGCCTCGTGTCTGGGGCTGCTCGGTCGCGGCGGCGCCGGCGGCGGCGGCGAGCGGCGGACACCGCAGCGACCGAGACAAGCGTGAGCTGACAGTGGCGAGTACCATGAGCACTTCGGAGACGGAGCTGATAGAGAGCACATACATGGTGACGCCCACCTCCACTGGCGGACCTGCAATCAAGCCCAATTGTGAGTCGCGCACGCGCCTCGCGCCGTGAAAACCAAACCTGAGGATGGTGACGTTACCCATCCCCGGAGGGCGAGTGAGGGGTCATGGGGGCGCGGAGTGCGTGCGGGCCGCGTAACACACTCACACATCCACGCAGATCGTGACGATGCGATCATCAGGTACGACTACATTGACGCATCGCATTGAGCCTATTACTAAAATTGCGATCGAACCGTGGACACGGGTGCTACAATGAACGGTAAAATGCTGGTGATTGCACTAAGGGACAAAATCTTGCTATGTATGCGTTGTGTCTTTGATATTGCTTTGAAAATAAGATACCATTTTCACTTCAGACAGAGAGCTGATGGAGAGCACGTACATCGTAACCCCTACTTCCACGGGTGGTCCTGAAAATGATATAACACATACACACAACATGGTGGATGTTATTTTTATTTGATGACTTCTCCACGAAGAACTGTCGAGCTTCAAAATGAAGTAATGTGTTCATTATAAATATATTCAGTCAAGGATCACACAGGATTTATTTATTGAAGAAAATATTAGGGTTGTAACGTTGAAAGAAATACTAAATCGTGATTTATAAAACATTTATAGTAAAATTTCGTTCATGTTAATATAAAATTCGAAAGTAATATGCATGGAAATATTAGCACACGCGTTGGTTGGTACTTATTACACTTTATGTGCAAACTTTACGAGTAATCAAAATTAAGAAAAGGAAAGGCTATCCGACACGATCCAATTTCGATGAGGTTCATAAAAAATAACCACTAAATAATTGTTCACTTTGGTAGTGAATTCAAAGTTGCTGACAAGTAAGTGCGAACGATTTAAGAAAAAAAATATAGTTTAAGGGTCTTCGGTATTGTAATAATTAATAATCATAGTATTATTTCTCTCTCATTGTAAGTCAATTTAAATAACACACCGTTACGTCCTTGCTTAAAAAATATGGAGGTGGATGTGGATGCGGAGGTAAGATTTTTCATGAAAGTTGCACACTTGCGGAGGTGGAGGCGTGATTTCGTTACAACCCTAGAAAATATGTTTCAAAACATTTCGTTTGTTTAGATACAACTATTAAATATAAAATTAAAGCAATTTCACTTCATCTTCGTCTTTAGAACACGGAGTAAAGTAAATTAATGGCGGCAAGTTACGACTTCATCCTCTTTATGGCTTTTATTTAATATTAAAAGCGAGATGAGATCAAAAAGGTACAATAGTTATTACTTGTATAACTTTATTGAATGATTAAATTTTACTGCATATATCTATATTTCTGTTCGTTAGTCTCGCTCAAACACGAGAACGGCTGATCAGATTTATCTTATCTTGGTGTTAAAATGTTCGTGGAGGTCTAGGAAAGGTTTAAAAGGTGAGAAGAATTCGAATAATTGCAGGGAAAACCCTTAAGGAACCTTTTTTAATCCCGCGTGGACGAAGTCGCGGGCGAAAGCTTGTTCTATATAAAGACGTAAGAAATAAAACAATATAAAGCTCCCACAAAAAATAGTCTGTTTTCTCAGTTTTACAAGGTATAGCTCTCCTGCTCTTTACGATCTATCTTTTATCTCTTTTACGTAACGGAATGTGCTTGTACGTGACGTGTTTTTACAATATAATTCTTGATTACAGTCTAGTAATCGAATCTTCTATGGCCTCGTAAGAAGATTCCTTTCCACATGTAAACTTTTCAACAAAATTATTAATGTTCCGTAGGTATATTTTGGCTTTCGCCTCTTTTTAATAGTATAAATTAACATTTTTGTTAATAATAAATTAAACTATACTTTGTAGTAGTATTTTAATTTATCAAGGAAAATTCTTAGCGTTAGTAGTTATGTCTAGTTCTTATCGCGAGAGCTGAAGTTTAACGTAGTTTTAACTAATAATGAGTGAAATAACTTATTTCACCTCGGGCTTCCCCATTTAACTCGCGTTCCTTTCAGTCTTTTTAACTTTGCACCTCGATGAAAGATCGTATAACGCTTCTAAAGAATCTTGCTGCAGGGCTATGAAATATTTAAAATGAAAAATTTTAACATACTTTATTAAAATTATTTTACACAAAAATATTTACAAAATATTTTCTCTCGTAAATATTTATATATTTGTTTAATATTTTGATTTGATTTCAAGCGGTATTTGGAAAACTAATATTTAGATATTACTCGTAATTAGTACGCATCAATATTTTTTATTTCACATTTTTAGGAATAACATTTTTATGGAATTGAACATTAAATAATTTATAATTTTTATGCAAAAAATAGACATTCTTATTTGAAATTGTAATTAAAAAAAATTCGAGAACGTTTTCGTGAATATGAAAAGGTTATAAAATATTAATAGGGTCGCGAACTAGAGGTAGGAACGTTGAAGTTCCCTTTTGCTGATGTAAAAATCATTATTATTTAAACACCGACGTCGACTGTTTCATACATTTTAAACACATTCAATGTTTATTTTAGCTTCATTGAGGATTAAAAACGATTATAATTAATAAGCTAACTCTATTATTTTTCGTAAACAATGGATAATTAACGGTGATGTATGTGGCTGATTTAATGGATTTAATTACCAGACATTAATTGGAAGTTGAATAATAAATTATTTTAAGGGTATGAATGATAACACACGTTATTATTCATTTTTAATTGTACTTCAACTTAAATCAATACTGTAACAATGTTATATACTTCTTACTGTTTACGATATAATTGGTTGGAAAATTGTCAATCAAAATTTTAATTCTAAATTTAAATTTAACTTTTCTTGATAACTTTGCTGACATATTCATTGTGAGCTCGTAGCTCTTTTGATATTCACTATTGGACGTAAGCCTTTGAAAAACGCTAGCATTGTAGAGATTAAGCTGAGCAACTATCGAAAACCGTTGAAAGCGTATTCATTTAACTGTTAGTACCTGCACATATTGCCACTAGAGTTTTGTGAAGATCGGCAGTGTTTTTATTAATAAATATTATAAAATTGATTCACTAACCTCCATAGTTTGGTCTTACTCTTTTATCATAACTTATACTAAATGAGTCCAAAATGGCCGATATATTGACGTCTCCGAACATGCCACCCCCGCCGGCGCCCCTGTAAAAACAAACATGATTAAGGCTATGAAAGAACACTTAAGTTGTAGGAAGTGGACAAAAGTGTTTAAGGAACTCACTGATATAAGAAATATTTATAATGAGTTTTATCAATCTTTTTCTTTATTGTTAACTTAGGATTAAATGTCGTCAATCTGCCCTTTTCCCTACGGAATGACAGCCCAGTACAAACAACACTCCTTACAATCTGGATAGATTAGTATGGATAAACTATAATAAAAATATTACTAAATATGGATATATTTTCTTCGGTCTTTCTCTATATTTGTCATAAATATCACCTTTGTAGTAATGAATAAAAATATTTGTTTTATTCTAATTATTAAAAGAAAATAAAATGTCGGGAAATATGTAAACTTCTCTGAATTAGAATAGAGCACAAAAGCTGCAACAATATTGAAGACTTTGCTCGTTACGGTTGCAGTGCTTTTCGTTATTCTCATTAGTTAGAGATCTGAGAATTACAACACGAACATTTTGAATTCCGACAACTAACGCGCTTGAATAAGATATTGTTTGAGCAACGCTTACCAATTTTAGTACTCTGGCCACTTACAATTGTTAAATTTTAACAGGAGCATTTAACTTTTTATTTTAATTAATTTTTTATTTTTTATATTTTTGTTCCTAAGCCATGGGACAGATTCTAATGAAACTGTAGTAGAGCCAAAGTGTTGAGACGCTTTTATTTATTAATCTTACTAATTTTATAAATGCAAATGTTTGGATAGATGGATGGATGGATGTTCTACTGAAGGTATCTTTAGAACTGCTGCATGGATCTGTCTGAAATTTGACATAGATGTAGAACATAGCTTGGAAGAACACATGGGCTAATTAAGTGAGTTTAAAAAAATCGTTACTTTAAATAGAAAATATTAATTAATACAAGTCAAGTAGTAAGTCAAATATCAAAATAGTTTTTTCTACACGAGAGAATAAAGTAAAATACGATTCGTTAGAGTGAATAATCAATATTTTTTATTAAAAAGAACAATTATAAAAGTTAAAAAAGTACTGTTGGTAAAATTAAAAATAATACTGTGAATAAAGTTTTCTCGGTTTGTGAGTTGCTCGTTATTCTCCGTATTTGGCTTATGCTTTTCGTGCTTTACGGACCCCCGTTGAGCGAGGGTGGGACGGATTATAGGGGCCGGTGAAACGCCAGAAGCTTCGCCTTTGTTCGCTTTATCTCGTTTTATTTATTTCGAACGGCTTGTAACAGTCTTTAAAACCTTGCCAATTATTGGCGATTCAACTAAACGTTTGCTATTGACGGAACAAACGGTATCGCTTTACACAAAGACTTAAAAAGCGGAACTCGACAGACGAAATGAAATTCTAGGTCTTGATATTGTTACAATTTAATATAAATAGTTCCGGATAGTTCTATTTACAGTTAGTCTTTGTGAGCTTCTTTATTCTTCTTGAATATAAACTTTTTGTTAAATTAAAGAAATGAACAGGCTATTTCTCAAAATCAGTAATATCCTTTGCCACCCTCATAATGAAACTAACGGATGGACATTTTCGAAAAAAGCTATACAAACCCTGTTAAAAAATTAGGTGGGTTTTTGTAGTTCATGCATTCCCTTTCTGCCGAGTTTGCAAATATACTGACAGATGCTATATTTTAATTTAACTTCTTTAAAAATAACGAATGTTAATGTAAATGTTGAGCTTGCTTCATTTATACTCTAATTCGATCGACGTAATGAATACGTAATTACAGCTTGATATCTTAACGCGTTCCTAAGAAAAAAGTCTTGACAGACCGACGGACGGGCAACAAAGTGATCCTATACGGTTTCCGTTTTTTTCCTTTCGTGCTACGAAACCCTAAAAATTACAAATGTTCACACCATTTGTTAGTATAAGCACCTCAAAAACTTGATAGTGTCTTTATATTTTGTGATACAAAGAATAAGGTACGTAAGTATTTTTTTTTAATTATTTGGAAACACTTATAAACGAGATAAATGTAAATATGAATAAATAAACGGCTAAGAAAGCAAAAGAACTATCGGCGTTTGATCGAAATCAAAAACTTGGATATAAGATGCTCATTTCTGTACAGCAATAGCTTTAAATTCACAGCATAGTTCTAGAAAAGTTTGAAATTCGACTGCATTGAATCGATACATAGTTGCGTTGAAACATTTCTACGGCGTACCATCTTCAAAGTCAATGGCCTAAGAATATAAACCTTTTGTTACTAAAAGCATTGTTTAAAATTTTAATAAAGCAATTAATTGAATCATTTAATGTTACAAAAGTTGTATTAGAATGATATTAATATTTTAATATCATTCTAATACAACTTTAATTTGAATACAAGAATAAATTTCAAGTATATTTTTTAATTTACTAAATCACATTTGACATCTATATGTTAAAGCTTGATAATGAAGAACTCACTTAAAAATCCTTTAAAGTAAATTAATCTACTAAACATATGTAAATTAAATTGAATTATTATTAAAAATCGACTTCTTCGTAACCGAACTGATAAATCTTTACGTAATATTGTAACGATGTCCGATAATCGATTACAATAAATACGTAATCGATATTTGAAAAAATTAAACAATTGTGATGTTCTAACATAAAAACAACACTTAATATTTATTGTTATGTTGAACTTTGATCTCGTATGATTTATTAAATTATCCCGACGAATAGATTCAATTATTAATGACAGATTACAATTTGATTTGAATTTGGAATAGGACTGGATGCAATTATTAGAAGATTATAACACCCGCTATATCAAAACTGTTTGCAAACATTTTGTGCATAATTTTCTATGCAGTATGAACATGAAATTGAGCACTAAACTAGAATAGGTTCGTAATTTTATTACCTATGCTATTAGCAGGTGCAGCCACTTCGTATACATACTAATAGCTAACTAAAAGGTTGCGACTAGGCCCATAACTTCAAGGTAATATAACTAAAAGACAATCAACAACTTATTAATATATGTAGCTCGTACCTAAATGAATTCAACCCCTTTATATCTTTTATTTTTTTATCCATCTATCTTGTTTTTAACGCAAAATCTTTATTACAAAAGGATTTTAATACTTTTTTTTAAACTGGGCAAAATTAATAAAACGAACTTTTGAATAACACCAAGAATGAGAAAAACTTAAAAGAAAAAATGCAAAGTTGAAAATTTCCATTTTTAAACTCAGATATGATAAAAAGATTTTCCTTTTTAAATACGAAAAAATGAGAAGAACTTGCTCAGTAACTAAACTGCACTTCAAATATTTTCCATTAATCATTGGACTTTATTCAAGTGATAATTAAACTTCCTTGTGCCCTAGAGCTTCTGCTTTTCTAAGTTCTAGATAACTTAACTTTAACACAAATAGTTGCACCAAAGTACGGGCCACTTACAAGTCACTTTTGATGCTGTGAAATATAGAAATTCTGTTTCAATTTCTTTTTGACTTAATTTTTTTTATCTCACTAGATGTCGCAAGTAACTCCGTCCGCGCGGATTTAAATATATATTAGTTGATTCTCAGAGCTACTGAATATGCATATAAAGTTTCATAAAAATCGATAAAGCTATTTCTGAAGAGTGTGGTAACTAACATTGTCACATGAGAATTTTACATGTATGTAAGACTATAATTTTAAGTTATGGTAACAATCCAATCAAGGGACTAATATATTTGCTTGCTTTGCTATTTTTTTAAAAGCCCATTGTTGTCTAGTATAAACTGCTAACCCCATAACACTACTTTGTACTTATTTTATTTCTACTAGTTTTTCTTCTTTCCAAATCTGTTTCCACTATACATCTCTTTGTAGTGTTCAGTGTCTAAAACTCGAGCTACAAAATATAATATCTCATTCTTATATTACAAATAAATATTATAACATCTTAAATTTAAATACCATACATTGATTTTACTTGTTTACTAGGTATAGAACTTAGTCAATTGTTTAGTATTTGTCGTTCATTTACTAAATTATGTTACATTTAGTGTTACATTTAGGTTACATTTACTGTTACATTTAGTGTTACATTTAGAGTTACATTTAATGTTACATTTAGTGTTACATTAAGGTTACATTTAGAGTTACATTTAGTGTTACATTTAATGTTACATTTAGTGGAATATCTCGATGTCTATTAAGCATTCATAGATTGCGCTAGTAGTCAATTACCATAATCTGCCACGTTAATGTAATATTATAATGTACGTTGATGGAAAATATATTATGAAATTGTATATTTGCACGTACTAATCCATGAGATGAATTTGAAATGTACAACGTATAAGTTGGAAAGCACTTAAAAATGTCATCTCGACTTAACTGGGGGGTTTTAAAGCTCTTTACTTGTCGAAATGGCAGTTGAATTTCCGGCCACAAAATACTCAAAGAATATTTCGCACTGGAATAAATTGAAGTAAAATATTTTCAAGCAAAATCACTGACCGTAGTTTATAGATTGTTTCGATATTAAATCAGCGGTTTCTGTGATGAATATTAAATGTGACTTATCGATTATAAAGAATAAAAATTTCCAAATGGTGGTATTAAGTTAAGTTATAATTCATGATATCAACAGTTAAAATGGGATAAAAGAATATATATGAGAGAGTTTTACAGTAGAATGTAATGCAGGATGTAAATTACAAAAACCTTGTGTCATTCTATATTTTATTAGTTATGGTTAAATAAAAAAATATTTTAATACACCCGCCATCTTGACGTGAATATGGGTGTAACTTAATTCCGTTATAATTTCAATCTGAAGAAGGTACGAGTACAATTTTTTAGAGCGACGTACAAAATAGTAATTTTTTTATATTAAGTACAATTTAATTCGCTACTGTATGATAGTAGGCGCTTTATAAAATGTAAAAAACGGATTTTTTATTACTTGTTTTGTATTGTATTTTATTTTATTATTAAATTCAATATAAAATTAAAAATAGAGTAAAAAAGAA